CATTCACGAGAGTATCTTTTTATCTCTTACCGGTTTTGTTTAGGTTTTGCAATAATTCAGTAAAAAAAAAGTACAACTCCGATTTATGAGTTTGTTTTTGTTTTGAATTGTTTGTGTACTTGGAAGCAGGCATAAATACGTCACAATCTTCTATGTCATGGATGTTGTGATAGTCTTAAGCTGGCCTCTTAGAAGCCACAGCGTCACAGTTGTTTGCTTGAATAGAAAAAATCCCAGTGTTGTGAGTTCGGTTTGCATTACCGGCTAAAACTGCTCTTGTGCGGATTTTGTTTTTACACGATTGTGTAATGAAGTTAAATAATTCTCTCTTAATTAATATGTAAAATGGTTGAGTTCATTAGTAAACACAGAATTTGTTTAGGTACTTGAAGGCATTATTAATGCATTTCTTATTTGTAAGTTATTAAATGATTTACAATGTAAATTATGATAACAATGTTAGTACTTAAAATGAAACAGCATACTTTCAATATTTATAGTTTGTTTTTAATGTAATTAAAATTTAATTAATTATCAAAAAAAAAAAAAAATCAAATACCCACAATTCAGCATCACACATGGAGTTCTTTATAGGTCAATGTATCTCAACATTTTTGGTAGTACCTCCCTCTTAGATCAAGTTAATTGTGTCGAAGTTCCTAGGGATACAATTAAGCCTTTTGGTCTAATTTGTTAGAATATAAAAACTCAGAAGTTTAAAAACTACTTTGAATACTAGTTAAGACCTAAAATGCTTCTTTAAGGAAGGTCTTGGAGCTAGCTAAGATCCTTCAGAAAATAATTTCCTAATATGTTTAGTCAACGCAGTGTAATAGGCAGACGTGAGGCAATTTACTTCTACTTTATTTATTATTTATTATTAAAAGAAGGGATTGTACACTGTGACTTAAAAGATCTATTGTGCCCCTTACTCTGGTTAGAGTGTTTCTCCAAGTCCGATTTCTTTAATGAAAGACAATATAGAGCCTACCTTTCCTAGTTTTGAATCTTTATGATCCATGAAATACTCTCCTAGGTGTTTCTTCCGCTTGTGCATCAGTGCCGGGCACTCTCCAAGCACTATGAAATATCCTCCTAGGTGATTCTTTCGCTTGTGCATCAGTGCCGGGCACTCTCCAAGCACATGGTATGCAGTTTCTCTCTCTTCTTTACAATATTTGCAGTCTGAGTTGGATTAAACTCCTAACTTCGATAGGTGATTATTCAATCTACAGTGACCCGTCAATAAACCCGTATTAATACTTACTTTTACTTTAGAGCTTTAAAAATTATTAAAAAATTATTAAAAATTATTAAATAATTATTAAATAAAATAAATAAATAATTTAATAATAATAATAAATAATAATAAATAAAATTAAAATAAATAATTATTAAATAAATATTAAAAAAATTTAGTAGTATTCTAAAAGATAAACATATTATTCGAGCACATGCGTTTTCAAATGATGATGTGAATCCTTCACCTTTCACAGAAATAATCTTTTTAATATTCTCGTTTGCTAGTATATGTATTAGTTCAATAAGTTCATAAACGGCGAGAAACAATATTGTAGATATTTGTGAGTTTTAATTAAACGTATTCTAAGAAAATAAATTTAAAACAATACTTCACTGTACATACACATGCATTTGCTGCTCAACTTAGCTTAGCTAATGATAAAGTGCTATCCAAAAGCACTTCTCATTATCGAATCTCAGAACGGTGACCGGCTCCTCGGGGAGTTATGCAGATCTGAGGTCAATTATTGCTTAGTTTGATGAAGTGATAAACAATAATCCGGTCAAAGTGTAACGAGGGGTTATGAAGAACCCTCGCTGTTAATAGAGAATAAAAGTGCTCAAGTGCACAGACTCAACTAGCCTCAACATAATAATAGAAAACAAAAATTAAAAGTGTTTTTTAACAGCATTAAAAATAAATAAAATTAATTCACAATTTCTGTAGTAAACCCCTCTATAAAAATGTTCGATGTTAAAGAGGAAGAAGAAATGAGACCGAACTGTTATTAAAATAATAAAAAGGGCTTAGACTGCAAGAAGTCAAAAGAAGTTAGATTCTTAGATTAGGTATAATTACTTTCTATGTGGAGTACCAATAATACGTCATCATGTCTCTTATAGAAAGGATTAGAAGACATACGTATTTTACACTCCTATGACACTATATTAAATGGAATGTTTTGGTATCGGATTCTAATGTACATATGGTGTAATATGAATTGGTATTCTTGTTTTGTAGTTCAAACTAACCAGGAAGTAAGTACATTGACACATAACTAAACTTACAAAATTGGGGTCATATATAGGATATTTATATATATGTATAATTATATTTAATTGATACATTATTGAGGATATATAAAATGAGGATATATATAGTAAGAGCTTGACAAAGTATGAGGGTGTTAGGGTGTGTGAGCGTGTTAAAACTCAACTAAGT